TGTTGTCTAGAGCAAGCTCCAAAGACTCTTTACAAATGGCATCAAAGACAAATAGAGATGTGGTTAGATTCTACCAGGGGGATGTGAGCAGATTAACCTACAGTGAGTCTGCTATAAAACCCCCTGCATTTGCATTTCAGCAATTGGATCTGGAGCAAGTCTGTGATGCATTACAATGCTGGGATCAAATCAAGCTTTTTTGGAGCTCATCCAAACACAACAGGAGGCTATGGGAACCCTACTGCATGGAGTTCCTCTCCTGCTGTTTAATTGCACTCACCTCCTGAACCATAAAGAGTAATTAAAAGTTATCTGCATATAGTGCAGTGGAAATGTAAATAGAAGGCACAACTGTGTGGCCTCAAGTGAAGGCAGAAAGAAGTGACCAGGGAACCACCCCACTCACGGCCTTCCCACCCTCCTAATCATTGAGTCTACTGCAGAGATCCCATTTTGTCCAGAATCCTGTCTCCACGGGTGACTCCTGAACACATCCCAAGATACAACCTTTGCTTTTGCCCGATTTTGACCAAATCTGTTGGCCTCATCCTAGAAGACTGCCCTGTGGCTTTCAGACAACACGGGGTGGACAGGCTATACAAAGACAGATTACTTTGTGTGCAGTGAGGGGCGCTTTCCAGCAGGTTGACCTGACACACAATTTTTCTTTGCAAGCTCTGGAGAAAAGCAAGCCTGGACCCATGGTCTTAACACTTGCCTGCTTCCAACGGACTTGTATGCTTTCTGGTGGCGAAAAATAATGCCCACCACTGGAAAGAAAGAGGAAAAAAAAAACAAAAACAACAAACAACCAAATTTAAGGTATCTCTGATCTCAAAAGCATTTCTAACTGGTTTTGAGAAATAAGCTGGTTTTAATTTTAACTAAACAATAGTGTCTGGCCCTCATTTGAAAAAAAGCATTTTCATCAAGGATGTGCATATCACTGCTTCAGCACACAGGCAGCATTTGGGAATAAAACTTAGGGGGTAAGATTTAGTTTTAAGCTTTCTTCAAAAACCCTTTAGCGAAGGCAAATCCAATGATTTCAGAATTAATTATTTTGATGTCAGTTCCTTCTTCAAGACTGGAGGAAAAGGGTTGGGGGTGGAGGGAAACTTGAATCCAAATCATCAAGAAGGAAACGATGGCAATTTTAAACATTTTTTTTCACCTATCCTTCTAGAGAAAGAACAGAATCAGAACTTACTCCCAGTTGAGACCCTCTCCCCAAATGCAGCACAAATCTGGAAGCCAGATTTTTTCAAAAAGAAATGGAGCACAAGTTGTCAGAGGTGTGTGCTCGTGGAGAAAGGGAAATGAGAAGACTAGGAAGAAGAAGGGAAAAAATGGAAATCAGATGTCTACTCGACCAAGCTGTGATTCATCCTTTATCTTTTTTAATGCAACAAGTAACAGAAAGTTCATTTGCACTGCTCTCTTGCCTTTTTCACTCTGCTCAGCCTAGAACCAGCCCAAATGTCAACACCTGAAGAGGCTCCTAAGGATTCTCTGGTTGTTAAGCAGTGCTGGAATTCCTGAACTCATTTCCTATCACCTCTGCCTTTCTTGACACATGTTTAACAGGAGTTAAGGGCATTTCTAGGCCAACTGATTTATGAGATACTCTGAGTTTTCAGGGATTGAATGAAACAGCTCCCTTACTCAACGACATCTTATTCCGAACACACTCAGGATCGGAGGGCATCAGAACTGGAAAAAAGTCAAGAGATCTTTCATAGGTTGAAACACAGTTGAAAAAGTCGTCGTCTCACATAATTCAAGCATGGAAAGAGCAATGTGGCAAGAAAGGGTGTGGGGCCATTTTTTGGGGGGGAGGGTCATCAACCGGTACAGATCCTCATCTGTTCCGTCAGCTCCTACAGACTGAAGGCGGATGGATGCCTAGAACGCTGAGACAAGCATTAGGAGGTCAGGTCTCAGCCAAGAGCGATAAGAATTCAGGACTGATCAGTGGATGCCTAAGAAGCTGCCTGGTGATTCACATCTTCATTGGCACACAGACAAATTGTTGCTGAAAGCCTCTATGCTGGTAATTGTGCAGAGCTTGCAGGTTAATGGGAAGCAACTAAAGTCATGAGGCCATACACTTCAGTCCTCATGGAAATCATCAACTAGCAGGGCTGATAGCGACTCCTCCAGAAACAAGTGCAAGCTGTATCTGTTACGAGCGCTATAACCTATAGGTGCTTTTACTTGCCACGTTGGAGGATTTGGACCAAGCAAGAAAGTCCTGAAGGCTACCCTGAAGAAGTGATATTGGGCAATGATTGAAGGGATGAGTAGGCATGAACTGGTGACGAAAAGAGGAAGCCATGTTCCGGGAAGAGGGACTACTATAGGCAAGTTGGGAAAGTACAATGGTTTTAGTTCATGTTTAGAGTTCCTATCCTAGCATGAGATGGGCAGAGTCAGGTAGACTACGTAAAGCTCAAAGACAACTGCTCACGAGCTGGGTGAGTCTGAACTAGTTACTTCACAGTCGGAGCTTCAGGTATGCTCCCTAGAAGAGGTAAGTCAGTCTAGTTGTCACTTGCAGGGATGCTGTGAGAACTGAGGAACAAAACCTACAAAGGACACTGGATATGGGATCTAACAGAGAGTAACACTCAGTAAAAGCAAGTTAACTATGATTCTTAGGATGGTGATCATTTGCAACAAGAATCTGTAAACTTATGTAACTTTTTTTTTTTTTTTTGTACTTTGGAGGTAAAAAAAATCACTTTAGGGTGATTTCCCAGCTGAATTATCAAGGAGCCCATGTAGCCCCTTCACTGGCTCTTTCTCCACAATAGCCCTCTAGACCTTGCCTTTTCCCCAGGCAGGAACCTAACTCTGTGAGGCTGGGGTTTCCCAAATGTGCCCCCATGATACCCAAAACTGAACCTATTGCAAAGAATGAAGGCTTTGTGTACTTTTCCAGAGCAAACTGAAGGCTACACTCAATCCCTACTGGAATCTAGGAGCACATTTTCATGATTCTGAGAAAGAAAAAAAGGTAGCTTTAAAAAAACCCTCTCAAGAAAAGTAGAGATAGATGTGAGGAGTAAAGGATCAGAGAGAGAGAGAGAGAGAGAGAGAAGAGAGAGAGAATCACAATCAGATCAATCTACTATGCTTGACAGCATAGCTGCTGGCAGCCCTGGCTTTGCTGTTCCATTGGGCCAGGGTAGAGTAACAGACCCTATAATGGTGGCCATGAAGTCTGCAGCCATTGGCAAATACAGAATTAATGAGATTACATTGAGATTACCACCATCTAGGGTCTCAGACCATATGGCTACTGAGTGCTAGAAATCATAAGAAGTGAAGGTCAAAACAGGATGTAGCTCCTATGCACCCCTCCATCCCCCCGTGGTGGGTGGGTGGGTGTCTTCTTAGCAGCTGACTGACCTGAGACCTTGGGCTCATGTATGCATCGTAGTTGGACCCGTAGTACTTGGCTGTAATATCTGGGCTGTAGCCAGCATCACATGTGCATGGTATATTCGAGGTCGGGGGATGTTTCTTAGGTTTATATACCTGTGGGAAAAAGCTACAATGGTTAGGTGCAGGAGGAGAGGGTGCAGGGCGTACAGGGAAGGCGTTAGGGGAAAGTAAAGAGGGTGGTTCATCTCAACTTTGTGTGTCCACAGGGATGAAAAACCTAGAAGATGCACAGCCCCCAATGGAGAGGACATATGTAAGCAGCCCCCCACCTACAGGGGCCAGTGCCAAGGAGTCACGCTGCTCCATGGAATGACCTCAATGTCTGGCAGTAACTGAGAACATCCCTTTGCAAGGATGGGGTGGGGGTCCCAGGCATGGCAGTGGTCTCTGTCTTTCCACAAGGCAGGCCCATGGATGCCTTTTCCTTCCCGAGAAGGGATGGTTGGGTCTCCTCATCACGAGATGGCCTTGTCATTTTTGCACTTCCCGGCTATTCTCTCTCTAACCTACTTTTAGCAGAGACTACCCTAACAGGCAGAGAGGCAGTCATGGGGTTGGAAATCTGTGTGGGACATTCAGCTTGGCAACCATGTGGCACTTAGAGAGCTTTACCAGTACGCATGCGCCAAACCTAAGATGGGACAGCCACCTTGGGAGGCGATGGATCACTGAGCTGTGTCGGTTTCCCAATGAAGCTGATAGCCCAGTGAACATCTTTTAAGTATGGCTTCCCAAGTTACATACGGAGGAGAAACACAGAGACCATTTGATGACTTCTGGGATGAGTTTCCAAAAATGCTTCAGGTGCAATTATGGCCATTTAAGTTATTTCTAGAAAAACAACCTTCCACGATCAAAAAAAAAAAGAAAGAAAGAAAAGAAAGTGAAGGACACCCTGTACAAGTTAGGACTATGCCCTTCTTTCTAGTTCCCTGATACAAATATAATATCTTAGAGAGAAGGAAACACAGGGTGAGGGGGTAAACAGGTGATATTAGAAAACAGTGGATAATGTCTGGGAAGGTCTCCTCAGCGAAGCCTAGTAAGGCCATGGCTGGGAGATGTTCCTTGACTGAGAGTTTCCATAGGTAATGGCTGAAGAACCAGAGTTGGAAGTATATACAGAAAGAATCCTAAAGAACTGGATGAGGAGAGCTACTTGTGAGGTCCAGAGAGCAAGCAAAACAGATGGTAATGAGTTCAACCGGAAAGATGATGCCCAGAATTCAACTAGGAGTTTTCAGAATCTAATTAGAATCCAACTCCACTGGAAGGAAACAGAGCCAAGAGATATTTCAGCGGAGATGATATTAATATAAAAGAAAGAAAAACAGTACGGGTTGCAAACCACACAGACCCAGCCACATGCACATAAACACAGACAAGCAGTAAATTGTGTTCCAGCAACCGTTTTGCTAGTTTGTTCCTACCTGGTTTCAGGTGCTCGAGCTTGCAACATGGACATGGGAAAATGAAGACTGCCTAAACCCAGGAAAAGAACTCAAGGTCCCAACCCCAACAAAACACACCTTTCATTCAGGAGGCCCCACCTGCTGCTTTAACTGATGCACCAGTCGGTCTTTCTCCCGCTTGAGGGCCATGACTTCTTCTTGCGTCTTTTTCTTTTTGGAGGCAGACAACTCCAACAAGGCAATGTTTGCATCTTTTTCACTGATAGCCGCAAGTAATGCTTCCTGTCTGGTAAAATAAAAATCATTGTGATCATTTCTATACAGTTGGTAAAATCCCCAACAGGATTGATATTTGAAATGAGCCACAGAGTACTAGCAACATGGGAAGGACTTCCAGAACATGCTTGAGTCAGGCTACCTCATTGGTTCTCAGAAGGGACAAAGGACTTTAGATCAGACTCTCTGAGACTTGCATAATGTGTTCTCTGAGAGGGTTGCCTTTCAATAACTTCATAGACATTGCATATCAGAGATTATGAGAATTCAAGACTTCCACCCATTCATTTACCACTAACCCACCCAGTTAGGAAGCCAGCCAGTTGTCCAACTGTCTGCCCATAAATTCATAAATCCATCCAACCATCCATCCATCTGTCCAACCATCCATTCATCCATCCGTTCATCCATTCATCCATCCACCCACCCACCCACTTATCCATTGATCTATCCGTCCATATACAGCTAAGATTCCAGTCAAGTATAGCTATGGCACTCCAGGATAAACCAACAAGAAGAGGCAGCAATTAAAAAATTAAATGTATTTTTCATACTTTATTTCCTCTTGAAGGCATGCAGAATGCCCTGTGACCTACGAGGGTCCTCTTTTCATTTTTAAGTCATTTCAAAAATATTACCCTCTTTTCCACATAAGAACTGTGCCTTAGCCATGTCTTCACCTCAAACAGCTCCTCAGGCCTCAGACCAAATGTATCTTCTGCATAGAGAGCCTGGCCAGCCACTGCATCTAACAGTGTCTTTATACCTGTTCAAGTCAGGGGTCTGCCACATGATCCCACTGAAGTAGTTTCATAGCAGAAATCACTGTTTCAAAGGACCATAGCTACTTTTAGTCATTTATTTTCTAGACTTGATGTTCCACAAAAACTGGTACCTCACCTTTGTTACGCCAGTTCTCCTGAGCATATAGTAAACTCTCAAATATGTTGCCTCAAGCGATAGAGAGATTCAAGTTTTACTTTTTAGGAATATTTGAGGATATCTGAGGCTGCCCCTTCCTCTCACTTTTTATAAATTAGAATGAGCGGTTCCTGTTTCATCTGCAACCACTGCCGGTCTAATATTGCTCTGTCCATCTCCAGTGTCTAAGCTCACGTCTATCAGAAATTCTAGGCTGGACTTCACAGGGACAAGCTGCAATTAGAAAATGCCTCTCTTTGGTGTGTTGCATCGGCTCCTTTCCGCAGAGGAAATCTTGTCCATACGGTGTCACTTTTGAGACATTCTCGATATTTAGGAGACCCCAGAGTTACCAGGCAGGCCCCACACCAAGTACTTTCTGACACACAAGACCCAGTACTAAAACCTGAGCATGATCCTGTTTTGCCTTTCTTTAATCCCTAGACCAGGCCCCCTCCAGATGTTTGGACAAGAGGGTCATTATTTGGATCTCAGATTTTACCCCCTTTTCACTACAGGGATTTATATGGACTTGTTCTGGGCCCCATTAATGCCAGGCGGTAGGAGCTTCTGTCAGAGGTTCAGGCAGACGTGTGAGCAGCAGAACTTGTCAAGAAATATCTCCACTTTGCAGAAGAAAACCAGTGCTGCCTGGACTGCCAGCAGCAGCGTTAATATCCAGCTTCACAGAACCTGTCCTCTTCTGGAAAACATCTTGAAGTCAACAGACACACTCAATGCTCATAGCCAGCACACATTTACACAGAAAGCCAACTGAAGCAGCGCTACGGACTTTCAATCCAGGAGAGCCTATTTGCTGTCTACTCCAAATTCAGCTACAATACACAAGGCAATGGCTAGGTTCACCCCCATCCCAGACTGAAGTGTCTAGCTGGAGTTTATTCCAAAAAAGAAAAAAAAATAGAAAATATTTTTGGTAGTGTTTGTTTATTTATTTTCATTCACTTGAAAGGTAGAGGGACAAAGATGGAGAATGAGAATTCATGGACCTGGATACCCATTGGTTCACTCCGCAAATGTCCACACAAGAGTCAGGGCTGGGCAAGGCTGAGGACAGAAAACCAAACTCCATCCAAGGAGTTCCATGACAGTGACAGGGACCCAAATGACTTGAGTCAGAATCTGCGACCTCCTAGGCTCACTAGCAGGAAGCTTCACAGGAGGTGGAGTAGCCAGGATTTGAACTGGCACTCCAATAAGGGCCACAATTTAGCCTGCTATGCCACAATGCTTAGCCAAACAACATCGTGTAAGATAAATATTATGAAAGTCAGGAGTTGATGGCAAATTATGCTACAATGGACTTTTGACAACCCTGTGTTGTCATTAAAATGCTGGTGAGGAATCTTCATGACACACACAGGCATTTGTGCTCACTGACAAGCGGCTCTCTATCAGCTCCTTGTATTTCTGTACATCTCACAAACATCAACACCATCTTCTCTGTGACAGTCTTTCAAGGATGTTTTCTAAAACGAATAGCCTTGAAAAGTAGATGTGATATTTCACTTTGGATTAAAGGACAGACCTGCTTACTCCCTTGTATGATGAAAAAATGTTACTGCCCATCATAAAATATTCAGGTTCTGTAAGTTATGAGTTGCTTGCCTATAATGCAAGCAAATGCATTTATATGTCTACCTACACATCTGCCTGCCAAGATGGGACTGGGAAGGTCTGGCGCAGTGGCTCAACGGGCTAAACCTCCAACTTCAAGAGCCAGCATCCTGTATGGGTACAGGTTCATGTCCAGGCTGTTCCATTTCCAATACAGTTCCCTGCTTAGGGACTGGGAAAGCATCAGAGCAAGGCTCTAGTTCTTGGAACCCTTCACTCATGTAGGAGACCCAGAAGAGACTCCTGGCTTCCGGCTTTGGATAAACTCAGCTGTGGCTGTTATGGAGGCCATTATGTGAAGAACGAATCAGCAGATAGAAGGTCTTTGTCTCTAACTCTCCTTCTTTCTACAACATTTGCCTCTCTAATAAAAATAATTTTTTTTAAAAGATGGGAACCAGCAGATAGAAGTTCTTTCTAATTCTCCATTTTTCTGTAAAATCTGCCTCTCTAATAAAAATAAAGAAATCTTTTTTTAAAAGATGGGATTGGGAGCAAGGTGAGTTGATTTAAAAACATACTGAAGCTAACCCCTGCACTGAAGCTTCTAATTGTTGCCTTCAACCTGTCCCTGCCACATCTGTTGCCAGCATTTGGAGACTGAACTAGCAGATAAAAGACCTCTCTCTTTTTCATTTTGCTTTTCAAATACATAAATATTAAAAAACTTACCATTAAATGCAGCCCCAGCTAAAAGTACTCTTAATTATTAACTCTAAAATATAGTCAAATTAAAAATTTTTGCTTAAAGTCTCTCATCACCATGAATATCCATTTAAAATAATCTATTTTGACCTTCATATTGTCATTTAAATTTTTTGTATTGTTTGCTTTTGCTGTTGGCTAACAAATGTGCCTTATGTTATATAAATGCAATACAATATAGAACACTATAAAGAAACTATCATAACAAAGTTATATATATATTGAAATCTTTATTGAAATGCTAGGCAGAAACTAATGATGGTTTACTCTAAGATATCTTGCTTGAGATCAACATTCATTAATTCTAGTCTACTTAAAGAGTGATTAGGGCCCAGAGCCATGGCTCAACTGGCTAATCCTCCACCTCCAAGTGCCAGGATCCCATATGGGTGCCAGTTCATGTCCCAGCTGTTCCACTTCCCATCCAGCTCCCTGCTTGTGGCCTGGGAAAGCAGTAGAGGATGGTTCAAAGCCTTGGGACACTGCATCCATGTTGGAGACCCTGAAGAAGCTCCTGGCTTTGGATCAGTTTAGCTCTGGCCTTTGTGGCCACTTGGGGAGTGCACCAGAGGATGGAAAATCATTTTCTTTTTCTTTCCTTTTCTCCATAACTCTGCCTTTCCAACAAAAATACATCTGAAAAAATACAGAATGACTAGTAGAAAATAACTACAGAATATGAAAATTGTACACATCAGGACATTTGAAAGTTTTTTTTTTTTCAATATATTTTAAGTCCACTGCCTATTTCAATAGACAGGGATGCTAGGTGAAGCAGACTCTTCATAGCCATAATACTTGTTTTCTTTTGAAAAAAATATTTATTTGGAAGGCAAGGGAGAGAAACGGGGAGGAAGGGAGAGAGGGAGAGAAAGAGGGAACGAGAAAGAGAGAGAGAAAGAGATCTTTGATCTGTTGCTTTATTCCTCAAATATCCACTACAGACCGGGCTGGCCCAGGCTAAAGGCATGTTCTAAGAGCATAAACTTCATCTCATCTACCGCTTCCAAGGATGCATTAGCAGGAAGGTGAATTAGAAGCAGATTAGCTAAGACTCAATCCAGGCACTTCAATTTAAAATGTCAACATCTCACACTGATTTATCCTGTTGTGCCACAACACCCTCTCCATGCCATTTTTAGAACAGACTCAGATGGAAAATGACAAGACACCCAAATGTAAATTGGAAGACACAAAGAAAAATCATAAAGGCATTACCTTGCAGATTCAAGGCCCAGTTTATATTGTTGCAGAAATTACTATTGTCCCATCAGTTTGGAGAAAGTTCTCCAAGACTGAAGCCACTTCTGGTACTCACTCTGTTATGTGCTTATTCACAGACAACATGAAAAGTACACACACATGTATACACACATATATGTACACATGCAGTACACGTATGTATACACATGCAACCTAGGCACAGTGAGTGGGGTTAAGTATATGCCAGAGACTTGCAAATTTATCTGCAGAATGCTGCCATACTCTCGTACACAGTGACTGAGACCATATGTCTATGCCCCCAAATGCAGCTTAAAATATGAAAAGGAAGCCTAAATATGCCAGGAAGGCAGATAAGATAATGCAAAGAGGAATCAATCTGTACAGAGCCTGCTGAATGCCAAGCTAAGCAAGTGCACGACGGACAGCATTTTATCAATGTGCAGCCTAAACAAACGTCAAAGGGAATCATTTCTTTAACAAATATGGGCAACAATGGAGGAACAACGAGGGGAATGCCGTGCC